CCGCCGCTCCCCGGGAGCCGCCGCCGCCGCCGCGAAACCGCCCTCGACGGGAAGGCCGCGACGCAAGGAATGTCTAAGATGGCAGCCGCGGCAGCACCGGCCGCCCTTCCCATAAGGCCCTGCGCGGAGCGTGCCGAGGCGTGGCCCCGCCCCTCGGCGGGCGTGGTCCCGGCGAGCGTGGCCCCGCCTCCTGACGCTGCTGCCGGAGGCGGGCGGGCGCCGCCGAGTGCGCTCGGCTCCCTCCGCCACTCCCTCGGCGGGGCGCGGGGCTCGGCTCCTCCCGCTACTCCGGGCGGAAGTCTGCGGCCCCGGGCCAGGCGGGGATAGTTGTTTCCTGGTGTAAAATACCACCCCCGCTGCTTGCACCGAATCCTTTGCATTTCACGGAGACCGAGCCGGGCCGGGGCGGGGCCCGAGGGGCCGGGGCGGGGCCCGAGGGGCCGGGTGTGTCCGGCTCTCTGAAATCAAACCCGGGGAGGAGAGGGCCGCAGGTGGCGGCGGAGGGGGCGCGGGCCCGGAGTGGCCTGCGGGTCTGACCCCGGCGTCCTCGCGCGGGACGCCCGGTGCGCCGCCAGGTTCCACTGGACGGACGTGTGCTGGTACCTTAGAGCTGAGCCTGCGTTCATTGCCATGGCCCTTGACCTGGTTGGTTATTTGTTGCCGGTCCTGGGGCTTGAACTCGGGGCCTGGGCGCTGTCCCCGAGCCTTTTCCGCTGAAGACTAGCGCTCTACCATGTGAGCCACAGCTCGGTTTCCAGGCTTGGGGAGGGGGGGGGGCGCGGTAATTGAAGTTGAGAGCCTCTCGGATTTTCCTGCACGGGTTGGCTTTGAACCGTGATCCTCAGATCTCACCTTTCTGGGTATACAGTAGTATGTATGTATATATATAAAACTATATACTATATATAGTAGACATACACATATGTATGTATACACATGTATGTATATATACATGTGTGTATATGTATATGTGTATATATGTACACGTGTATATATACATATGTATGAGTGTATATGTGTATATATATATATATATATATATATATGTATGGTTATAGACATGAGCCTCTGGCCCTTGGCTGTTTTTGTGCCAGTTTGGGCTTGAACTCAGGGCCGGGGTGCTGTCCCTTAGCTTTTTCACTAGCTTTCTACTGGAGCCACAGCTCTACTGCTGGCTTTCTTCTGGTTGGTGATAAGAGGCTGGCTTCCAACTGCAATGCTAAGATCTCCGCCTTCGGAGTAGGATTACAAATGTGAGCCACCAGTGTGTCCACTGATGATGAATTTGTATAATCTTCCTGTGTTAATCACTACTGTCTTACGGGGGGGGGGGACCTCGAGGTTAAATAGAGTTAAACAGCCTGATTTTTTTTTGGGGGGGTGTCACTCAGCTAGTATGTGGCCAGAGCTGGTGTGTTCCTAGGAAGAGGATGCCCAGTCCTTGCCGAGAACCAACAATCCCCACCAAGCCCTGGCTAGGGAAAGATGTATTCCTGTGCAAAACAACAATGTCACTATGAAATCCTCCAAAAGAGGCAACATTGTTATTTGCTGATGATAGGAATCTAGAAAAGCTGGTATTTCAACATTGTTTCAGTTCACTTGGATTAGGTTAAGCAGAAGCAAACTAAGAACTCCTTTGAACAAGACATAAAACACCTGGGATAAACCTTTTCAAATTACAAAACCTTTTTAATTTTTTTTATTAACATCAATTATACACATTGTCGTTGTGATATTTACTACACACTGGTAGTGTACTTTGATCAAATTCACTCTATTACTTGCTCAATGTCACCCCTTCCATCATCCTCCCTCATCTCTCCCAACCATCCCCCTCCGACGACGCTTCAACGTTCTCATCTCTCCCAACCATCCCCCTCCGACGACGCTTCAACGTTCGTAGTTTCATTTTCACATATATACATTGGATGTTATGGCTGCATTTTCCCACCCTTCCTCTGTTTTGAACAGTTTTTTTTTAAATTGGTCTCATGATGCTGTTTTCAAACATACATAATATTACTTAGATCATATTCCTCCTTAGATCATTACCTCCTTTCCTCTTTTCCCTCCTGCTGCCTTGCACCTAAAATCACCCTTTTACAATTGTGTCCTATTTTTATCATGCTAGCATTGTTTTGTTATCATTATTATTAGTACTGTTTAGGTCTAGATTCTACATGTAAGGGAAAACCTTTCATATTTGTCTTTCTGAGTTTGCTTATCTTGCAAACTCACCATGACAATCTCCAGGCCCATCCATTTTCCTGCAAATGACCTAAGTTGCAAAAATCTTAAGGATGAACTTTGGCTGAAAGACATAATGCCTCCTGAGTAAGTAGAAAACAAGGTTCGATTATCTCAGGTGAGTAGTTGGTTTGGAAGGTATGCCAGTTCTCCCCAAGGCAAATGACAAAATTAGTACAGTTCCCAGCTGAGACACAAGTTATCTTTGGGATGTGTATATTAGGGCTGGTTATATAATTTGAAGTTTTATATATATGGAAAGCCTCCTTATTGTGAATTATCAGGAAAAGGTGAATAATGTCGTAGTCATAGTCCTTTGGGCTGCTAAAAGGAAATACCCCAAACTGGGTTTGTTATAAACAGCAGAAAATTATTTTTCATATTTGTAGAGGCAGGGAAGTCCACAGTTAAAATTTCTAGAGGACCTGTGTACACTTCCAAGCCTAACATTGTGTGTTATCATGATGGGATAGACTTAGGGCAAAGGGCAGAAAAAAGATTAGGGTATTCCTTGTCGTGGGGCCTGAACTCTGGGCCTGGGCACTGTCCCTCAGCTCTTCAGCTCAAGGCTAGCGCTCTACCACTTGAGCCACAGCGCCACTTCCGGCTTTTTTCTTTTTGTTTATGTGGTGCTGAGGAATCGAATCCAGGGCCTCATGCATGCAAGGCAAGCACTCTACCACTGAGCCACCTTCCCAGCCCCTCCATCACAAGACTCTTGAATGTAGTGATTCACACCTAACCACTCAGGAGGCTGCGATGTGAGAATCAAGGTTTGAACCCAGATTGGGCAGAGAGTCTGTAAGACTCTTTATCTCCAGAAAACTGGAAGTGGAGCTGTGGCTGGAAGTGGTAGAGCACTAGCCTTGAGCAGAAAATCTCAGGAAGAGTGTCCAGACCCTGAGTTCAAGCCTCACAACTAAAAGCAAAAAGAGATCAGAGGGAACTTGTTTACCCTTCCACTGTGTGAGAATGTAACGAGAAGGCACTGTCTATGGAGCAGAAAATAGCCCTCACCAGACACCATTTTTCTGCTGAGCCTTCGTCTTGCTTGCAGTTTTCAGAGCTCTGTTTTTTGTAAATTACCCTGTCCATGGTATTTTGTTATAGCAATCTACAAGGACTAAAGCCTGGGTCCCATTCACTCGGTTCTCCTTCCACAAGTTAATCACCTACACACCCAACACAATGCTGATTAGGTGTGAACATGTGCATTGAGGAAGCAGACACATCTAGAGCATAGCAGATAGTAAAGATATGTTCTGTAATACAGTGAACAAGCTCCATCAGCACAGAAATCATTAAATAGTGGGAACATAAGGCTAGATAGTTGTTTTTCAGAAACGTTCAACTAAAATAACATCTAATATAATACTTGCCCTCAAAATTACGGAATAATTTCTGCCAATTAAACATCAGTCTGTATATTTCTACATATCAATATTTATCTGTATACCTATAGTTGCACATACACGTGCATATATATACATGTACATATATGTGTCAACACACATGTATGATGCATTGTGAGTCCTTACATCCATCCATGTACTGATCTCAAATTATGTCTATCATATATAGACAGCTATTTCTAACTTGTGATTATATAGACAGTTATTTGTAACTTGTGACATGCTAATTTCTTAGAGCTGCCAAAAACCAATCAGCGCATGCCCATTAGATCCTAACAGTCCTCAAATCCTGAAATCTGGGGATTCTTTGATGGTGCTGAGGCAGAATCTGATACGCATCTGCCTCTCCATTTCTAGGGATTGCTGGTAGTGCAGCATTCATCCAATCTCTGGTGTCTTCTTGTTATATTCAATGTGTCTCAGAGTTCATTTTTTTTCTATTTCTTTCTTTTTGTTGATCATGGAGCTTGAACTCAGGGCCTGGACTCTGCCCCTGAGCTCTTTTGCTCAAGGCTAGTGCTCTACCACTTTGAGACACAGTGACACTTCCAGTTTTGTGGTGGTTCATTGGAGATAAGAGTCTCAGGGACTTTCCGGCCTGGGCTGGCTTTGCACCATGACCCTTGGATCTCAGCATCCTGAGTAGTTAAGATTATAGATGGGAGCCACCAGCATCCAGATGTTTTTTTTCTTTTACGCAATGCTAGGTAGGATTAGAACTCATGCATATTACGTGAGAACTCCTCACTCTGGTCATTCTGCCCATTCTTGTAATAGCACAGAGGATTAACTTTAGACCCCAACCATGCCCCTGCATGAATGCCTGGTAATGGCATCTGCAAAGGTTCCTTTTCCAAGGAAGAACAAATCTAAGGTTTCAGTTAGACAGAAATTTGGGAAGGAGAGGTTCTTTGAGACCCTGTTTGTACCTCTTTCTCCCTATGCCACCTGATGCCTGTTCCCTTGGCAGGTTATGTCCTTGACAGCACTTTTCATGTTCGTAATTTAAGAAACATTAGCTTGTTTAATAACCCTTCCTCTTACTAACGGGCTCCTTAGGGAGATGGCTACTTGAACTGTTCCCGCATCCACACCTGGCCACATGGGGCATGAAATACACTATTCAGAATGAGTAAATACCAGCATCGGTTGTCTGGCTTCCCCTAACAACCTGATAACACAAATTCTTTTTAAATTTGTTTAGGCAGAATTCAGAAATACAGATTATTACATAAATTTTGAGCTAGGGCTTAGATGGGGACTTGGGAAACCTCATGACCAAGAACACAGGTATGGATGCTGATGAGGAATCACCTCCTGGCCACTGAGGTCAACACAACGAGTCCTGGTGCATAGCAGGGGCCTTGCTGACACTCAGCCCCCAGAGCCTGCAAATGTGACAGTCCAGACCTGACCATTCAAGGCCAAGAATTCCCCCAACTGACACGTGCAAGGAATGGGTGGTACATTAGCCCAGCTCTGGAAGTCAATGATACATTAACCCAATTTCCTAGCACTGAATACCCCCTTGTCCTGTCTGCAGTCCTCAATAAAAGCTTTGTTTTGTTTTCTTCTGAATACCTGGCAGTCTTTGGCCATTCCTACTTTACAAGGTTCTGATATTTTCGGTTGGGTCCAGCGATATCGAGTCTGATCAATATATGACATTTGAGTCTTTGTGACATAGATGTCTACTGTCCTGCCCAGAGATAAAATAC